ACTTTAGACACTTATTACTAGAATATGGATTTTTACACACGATTACTTTTTGATACAAGATAAAACCGAGTGAAATGCCTAGACGGAGAGATGTTTACTCAAATCATATTCAGTAGAACACTAGTCACTTTAATGGTTGTCGTGCATAACGTCTTGCTTATCGTGTAATTAAGTTAGAAAATGAGACAAGTAAAGCAGATAGGGTTCGGTACGCTATGTAGGATACAAAAAATGGAGATATGAAACATATATACTGTATATTGTAGCCTATAATGAATGTGGACAGTTCAAAAAAGCATAAAATGTTACATAAAATAGGCATCTACCCTTAAGCATTAGACAACTCTCCTGGAGGTATAGGATAAATGCTCAAAACTGACAAGTATTATTTTGTTGCACCTTCTATATTACGTCGAGTTTTAACTAAACTGTTTACTTTTGTTAAAAGATACCACTTGGCTGTATGTGTTTCTTATATTTATTTCTTTTGGGACCTTCAGCTAAGCGACTTATAAGTGTTGATAAAAACTATAGGCGTGTCACCCGTTTTACCCTATCAATCATCATTCTTATTATACGTTTTGATACAAAAAATCCAAAAATTGAACTAAAGAAGAAAATAGGCATTTAGAGCAATGTCCCAGCTTTATATATAACATACGAAAAGTATGGCGATTATGGTAATATGAAAATATATGAAAATACAATGAGTGTGTGTCAGCTATCTTAAAACTGGATAAACAAAATTTTGAAACTTTAAAGGATTATTTTTATATATGAGACATTAAATTTTAGTTATTAAAGGTCGTGGGAGTGAGATACAGGATAGAAAAGTGTCATATCTCAAGTGGGTCAGACTTAATGAAAATTTTACTTCTTATTGGCATTTTTTAGTCTTTTTAAATATAATGTTCGAAAACAAAAAATAAATAAATAAAATATTATGCTATTTTATATGTTAGAAAAATGTTTCGAAAGTGAGCTAAAAATTTGTTGGCTCCAGTGATGAAAAATAAGTTAAGTACAGTGATTAATATGTGTAAGGAAAACATTGATAAGTTTCAAAAGAGAGGAGTTATATTTCATTTTCAGTGTGAAATAGCAAAAGAAAAATTTATAAAAGAAAGGAAAAGAATATTTGGCGATTTCACCGGCTGGAAACAGGTAAAATACCTAAGTTAAAAAATAGGCAGAATTCACTGCACTGCAGACATCACAAAATAAAGGGCTCGTCCGGGAATTGAACCCGAGACCCCTCGCACCCTAAGCGAGAATCATACCGCTAGACCAACGAGCCACGATCAATAATAATTCCCAATATTTTATTCAAACAGTACACATACTTCCTTTTGTAAAAAAACAAAAGAAACCTTTACCTTACACGTCAGCAAATCGTACCTAGCAGAAAACGAATAATACGTAACGAACGTCGCTTGAAATTACCGTTATTACGATAAACAAAATAAATCGGAGAGCTCGTCCGGGAAATGAACCCGAGCGAGAATCACACCACTAGACCAACCTGTCATTAGCGCAATTATTCGCGACAGTTTGCATTTAAAAAAATCCAGCAACGAGTTGCTTAACTTACTATGCAACATTTAAAACTGCTTGTGTGGCGCGATATGTTATGATATTTTATTTTAAAAAACTATTTATACTTTTAACTATTATAAAATGACAAAAAGCTTAATCTTTAGGGTAGGGATGAGTGAGTTTTATGAAAAACATATGTAAATACTAATAACGAATAAAATCGCCATTAAGTCCTACCCTACTCCAGATATGATAGAGGACTTTCCTTTATCTCCCCGTTTCGTTGGCCTTTAACTATCAAAATTGAACAGTATTTCCCCTAACACACAAACCATCCTGCAAAATTTCAGAAAGTTTCGACAAAAAGCACAGGAATTATTAAGCTTCAAAGAGGGTGAACAAAATCCCATACATACAGAAATTACTCCCGAATTATTTTGCATGTTTCGACATTTCAGAGTGTTCTGTGAGATTTCGACCCTTTTTCATTTCCAAAGAGAATGTACACTAAGAAGGAATTTTTCGAAATTCCCCCCTCCCCGCGGGGAGTATTATACATTTATTTTCCTATAAACTCGCTATTTACGAGGACATACTTCCCACGTAGTTTATATGCATTCTGATAACGTTCTTAAAATGGGTTTTACCACATACATTTTTGAAATTTATGATTAGTAATGGTAACAAGCTAGTCTATACTAATACAGTAGAGCCTCGAAAACTCGGTATAATGTGGACCGAAGGGTGGCCGAGTTTGTGAAAATGCCGGGTTATCGGGAATGGGGTTAAAAAAATAAGTATGAGTGTTTCCTCAGAAAATACTGTACTGTACTTGTATGTATTGTTTACTTGAGAATACAACAGAGAATAAACTGCCCAAATACCCTTAAACAAAGGAAAAGTACATCTTTTATGAAGGCATTTTTTGAAGGTCTTTTATGAAGGCCTTTACTATATGAAAATGAAAATTAATGAATACACTGTACAGTAATTTACCTGATAAGACAGACCTCAGAAAAATACTTTATGAGACATAAAGCTGTCTTTATCATAAAAATTAATTAACTAAGGATTTTTTTGCCCTGCCAGGGTGTGGCCGAGTTATCCGGAGTGCCGGGTTATCGAGAGCCGAGTTTTCGAGGTTCTACTGTATTATAAAGAGGTAATGTTTATAAGTTTGTATGTAGGGGTAATCTCCGAAACTACTCATCCGATTTCAAAAATTTTTTTACCGATATTTAGAATGAAACTTCAGGGTGGACATAAGCTGTTCTGTTAAACATTCATATAAACTAATTAAAAGATATCATCTAGGGTTAAGGCTTTTATGTCCAACAGATGGCGCTACGAGTACGACGCCCTTTTCTGTGAGGCATTATGTTTTTCTGTGAGGATGAACTAAAGCAGATCATCTTCTATCTATCTATATAAATAAAAATGTAATGTTCGTTTGTTCCTACCGATTCTTTTGAAATTTTGACACAACGCTGCATTCGAATATGCACGTGTTTTTATATAATATACGTGTCAAACTTCCCCCCACTGGGGGGAGATGGACAGGATTAAGGCTTACCGTAAAGAACTCTGCTTCTATTTATACTATTTTAAATGCGTTTTTGATTGCGTTTTAATAGAGTACGTCAACAGAATATACACTAAAAAGGGATTTTTCGATATTTTCCCCCGCGAGAGAGAGGGAGAGGATTAAGGCTCACCGTGAAGAACTAGGCTTCTATTATACTATTTTAGATGCGGTTTTTTGCGTTTTTGATTGCGTTTTGATAGGGTACGTCAAGAGAATATACACTAAGAAGGGATTTTTCGAAAAATTCTCCCCCCCACGTGGGAAGTGTTATACATTTATAATAAATACATTTTGAGCCACAACAACGCGTGGCGGGGTCTGCTAGTAATATAATAAAATGAATTAGATTCATTAAAACTGTACAAAAATTCTAAATTTAAACGTGAAAAATTATGTTTATCTAAGAAAAATAAATAAATATTCAGAATTTCGTCAATTGAAACAACGGACAGAAGTGGCTAAAAACTTCATACAAATAGTTGAACGACTGCTGGCCACCTCCAGTTATAGGCCTGAGAACGGAAAGTCCGATGATTTTCAGTTATACTACGATATAAAATTTAAAGAATAATAAAAGCTTAAAAGCTTAAATTTCGTTGAATTATGATAAATTTCTTTGTTGAATCTTTTATGAAATTTTATTAAAATTTAATTTTTATATTATTAATTATGATAATAAGGAAAACCCTATATTTTCGGGAAAGGGAGAGTGTTTAAAATGCCGTATTTCAATTTCGTAAGCAATGTATATGGATAATCGTTTACCGAATAATTACATCTTAGTTCTATAAGTTTTTCAATTGTCTTTTTCAAACATAATTCTAGTATAACTTTTCGTAATTTTATTCTATATACTTTATTCTTAGTAGGTAATCGATAAAAAAAAAAACTTATAATTAATTGCATTTACTGTTACACGTTTTGAACGAATTTCAACATGAGATAGGTTAATATATTTTTTCGTACATAATCGATTTTCCAAACAACCCCAGTCCCCAACTCATTCGGATAATCGATGCTCTACTGTATATTTGCTCTTGCGTGACTTGGTTCTGAAGGGTGCATCTAAAATGTGCCACGGGCGCCGCGTTGCCGACTTCTGCTGTACAGTATAATGGCAATGATTTTATATTCATGGTGGGTATAGTGTATTTTGCCATCATAGTGATTATATATTTTATTTATTTATTTATTTATATCATACATAGAAGAAGTCATATAATCACCACTCTCAAATAACCATCAAAAACATAACATACAACCCGATAAAAATTACCAGAATAACAAAGTAAAATTTAATCTAAAACATAGCTTTTTCACAAAATAATTTAGTGATTTAGAAAAGTCTTCTACTTTTGGATTTTAAATCTTACGTGTATTTATTATCCATTTTCTACTTTCTTCATTTTCTTCTCTTTTTAGATGTCTACTCTCTTCTTGATTTTGTCCTCTTTTTAGATGTCTACTCTCTTCTTGATTTTGTCCTCTTTTTAGATGTCTACTCTCTTCTTGATTTTGTCCTCTTTTTAGATGTCTACTCTCTTCTTGATTTTGTCCTCTTTTTAGATGTCTACTCTCTTCTTGATTTTGTCCTCTTTTTAGATGTCTACTCTCTTCTTGATTTTGTCCTCTTTTTAGATGTCTACTCTCTTCTTGATTTTGTCCTCTTTTTAGATGTCTACTCTCTTCTTGATTTTGTCCTCTTTTTAGATGTCTACTCTCTTCTTGATTTTGTCCTCTTTTTAGATGTCTACTCTCTTCTTGATTTTGTCCTCTTTTTAGATGTCTACTCTCTTCTTGATTTTGTCCTCTTTTTAGATGTCTACTCTCTTCTTGATTTTGTCCTCTTTTTAGATGTCTACTCTCTTCTTGATTTTNCTTCTTCGTTTCCTTTCTTTAGGTCTCGGTGGATTCTCTCTTCCTCGTTTCCTTTCTTTAGGTCTCGGTGGATTCTCTCTTCTTCGTTTCCTTTCTTTTTGTGATGTCTACTCTCATCTTGGTTTTCTTTTCCAGGATGTTGTCTAATAGAGTCTTGATTGTCTGTTCTGGTTAGATGTCTATCTTTAATCTTGCATTTGACACAAGTTGCATCGGAAGAATGTATCACAAAAATTGTTATCGTAACGATGATTATTACCTTCAACATTCCTAAAATTTAAATAAGACAAAGATATAACATCAAATTATTGTGAAGACTAATATATTGATATTAAACCCTGAACAAAATTATGGAATATTTTGATATAATAGATATAATCTATTATATTTGCCAATTGTTATAACTTCAATAATATTTTCATGAATTTAATTAGTTCAGTTTCAAAACAATTTTTCCATGACAATTACAAAATATTCCATACTTTTGTTCAGGCGTTGTATTATTTTTAATAAATATTTCTTATATATGATTTTAAAAATATACAAAATTTTTGTTTAATGCATATTTGTTAATTTTATAATAAATGACATTAAGAAATAATAAATAAATATATTAATAATACAAATAGACGTAATATACATCATCATCATTATCAAAAGTTTTGAGAATGTTGCAAAATAGAATTGAAATTCTTGTGTTTTAAATAAAATAATACTTGCTAGTAAAGTTTAAAATACAATTGTAATTGGTAAATATAGGCAAAATATTTTATAATATTAAAGTAGAGAGAAGATCTTAACATTATAAAAGACAAAAAATCTAAATTTAATTAATATTATTTATACGGATTTTATAAATGATTTTATTTATCCTTTTATAAATTAATTTTAATAAATATAAAGCAGATAAACACAACATAAATTTAAAAGTAATTTAGTAGTATATAACTAGAAAACTATAACTATATAAATATAGTTTGTTATAACAAAAAAAAATGAGTTTATGTATTTTGTTTTTTTTTCTAGTAAAACTAATAAAAAGAACTTCGTTTTTAACTAACTTTGAAATCTAAAGCTTTCATAAACATAAACATAAACATAAACATAAATATGGAAAATATTCTATTTTCCATGTTTATGAAAGTTAGACAGTAATATTAATAATTTCAAGTACAATGACTGACCGTATTTACATATTATAACGACGTAGAAGAAAGAGAAGACAAAGAATAGTTTACAGTTAAACTTATAAAAAAGACAATAGTAAGATAATGGAAGATACAGCAAAAAAATTGATAATTTAATTAGTAATTCAATTTAAACATTGAAGAAACTAAATCTTTACACTTTTATCATGTCCAATCACCAGCAATAAACAGTCTTCCCTTAAAGAGACGACTTTTTATTATAGGCTATTTTTTTAACATTATAATATATAATATTATAATAATTTTAAATATTAATATTATAATATAGAAAGTTTAATGTTAATAATATTAATATTAATATAGAAAGCTTAATATTAATGATTACGAAAGTAATCATTAATATTAAACTTTCTATAGCTGCTTTCGATATTGAGTTTTTATTACAATTAATATTTAAAATACTTTACGAAATTTTTAAAGGGAATAGTTACAATAAAAATTTGAAACAACTTATTTCTAAAATAATATGCCATTTAAATCTGGAAATTTTTAAATTATTTTGAAGTAATGCAGAAATTTTTTGAAAAATATTCTATTTAATTAGTTAGATAAGTAAAAAAAAGCTGGTTATAATTAATATTAATCTTATTATTTACTAACAACTTTCTAGCAATGTATATCACAACGAATTTGTTCAGCATAAGTGGTCTGAAGTACAAAGACCGAAAAATTGTAACAATATTAAAACAAAACTCGAAAATTCGAAATTGGCTATAAATAACTCACTGTAACATGTTAGCCTATTTAATTAATTAAAGTTTACCAAATTTAATATATTTTAATTTTAAAACATTTCTTTCAAGATTCTGCCTACTTCAAATTTTTGAATTATCGTTAAAAGATGAAAAATAATTGTATAAAAATCAGTTTATGAAACGTTCGCGGGTATCAAGAAATTATATCACTTGTTTATTCAGAAATATATAAAAAATTTCACATAATGGAATAAGTTAATTATAACAACTTTACCTTCTTTCTTAATGCTAATATAAATTTCAGCTGGAAAATAATAATATATTAAATATTTTTCTTAAATGAGCGAGTAATCCGCTCGTGTCGTATTTAAATCGTTTCGAAACATTTTCCTATTGGTGAAATTTTTTTACGATTGATTTAATTAATAATAAAATATAGAAAAATGCTTCGAACCAAAACCAAAATAAATTAATCACTTATTTTATTACTATATTTATTATTAAAAACAGTATAACCCCCAACTGGTAGTCAGCGAAAGAATTTTTGTGACCCATAAAAATTTCAGTGATATTTAATTTCCTTCTGTGAATATATTTTGGTGGGAATATTGTTTGAACGAATATATTTAAAATCAACCAACACATTAAAAAATCATTTACAATACTTATAATTAGGCTATTTATTATATTAAAAATGTTTAAAATTTTCTATTTAGAGTAATTAGTCGTGTTATTCGTGAACTAATGTTATTGTATGTAAATTATATACCATAAATTTGACTTTTATTATTGTAGAAGTTGGACATTTTAGTTTAATAAACAAAAGAGCTTTTGTGTCCAGAGAATCCATTTCGAAATTAAAATAGTATAATCACGCAGTGTATTATCACGGGCTATTTAAATAAATAGTGTGCGTAAACAAATCGGAAGTATACACCAGTAGTGTGTAATGTTACATAACATGCAAGATTTCGTAAGTTACATGATATACATCAATGTAACTTATGAAATATTGCGAAAAAAAAAAACAAAAGTGTCCGAAATCAGGCATCACTTTGGTCCTGTAGATGCCGTATTAAAAATTTCAACTATACTTACAAAAATTCAGCATTAGTTGCGTAACTTTTCCGGCACAAAATTTTAAAATTGAGTGTGGTGCCATCTGTTATGATATTTTATTTTAAAAACTTTGTATATTATTAATTATTAAAAAATGTCAAAATGCGTAATTTTTAGGGTGAGGATGGGTTTTATAAAAAATTGTAAATGATAATAACGAGCAAAATCGTCTTAAAATCCGACTATGAAACGACTCTTTTTTATCTCCCCACCCCCTCAACTTTAAACCATCAAAATTTAATAGTATCAATCCCCCTAATACAGAAACTTCTCTACAAAATTTCCGAAATTTTCGACAAAAGTACAGGAGTTATTAAGCTTCAAAAAAAGGGAACAAAATCTTGCACTCCACACACACACACACACTAACACGCATACACTCAGAAAAAAACCCTGTTTTGCATTTCTCGATGTTTCGAGGTCCCGAGTCCAAAAATGCCAAAATCTCGAGGGTCATTTTTGACCTATTACTATACTTTCCCTCTGTTAAATATAACATTGGAAAGTAAAAGAACAGAAGAAGGAATGCTAGCTAATCAATGTTGATAGTAGGTACTCATAGTTGCAGATTCTATGCTGTTTCAAAATAAAAATATTTAAAAAAAATATTTTAAATGTATCTGAAAGAATAGTCGTCACCTCAAAGGATTAATCCAAAATGGCCGTCTGTTTTTTTCGGAAATCCAACGGATAATCGGGATTCTACTGTAATTAAATGGGTTCTTTTGAATCCAAGCTCTGGGCCAAATGGCTGCTCTGGCCACTCTTTATGATATAATTTTAACATATTCCTAAAAACGTTATTAAAGCTTAATGTTTGGTTTCAATGTTATTTGTTGTTACTAAAATTTTTTTCGATTTTATTTTAAATAAAACAAGCAATTATTTATTGTGATGTCTTCACAATTCTGGGCTGCAATTTTTAATCATATTTTTAATTTATTTAATTTAAACTTATGCTCTGTATCTCAGATTAGTAGTGTCACTGTACACCATTTTTTCCTGTTAGCAATAGAGTTGTGCCTATCACTTATTAACTATTTTCAGGGGAAAAGATTAGAATTGAAATAATGTAACTTCTGGTTTTGTATCGGACATTCATATATAGTTAATGAGGGCCTCCTACACCTAAGGTTTCCAAATCTGCCTCTTCTTTCATTTATCTCCCTCCGTTCTAGAGAATGACAGGCAGATGGACGGACAGATGGCAGTGGGAATTTATAGGTGTACAACTTTTTCAAATTGCAACCCAATTTAAAAATATCATTATTAAATATAATAATTAAAAATGCTTGTTTTTTTAATGTTATACTTAAAAACTAAAATGTATTTATTATTTAAGGAACGTTTAGATTTAAATATCAATAAAAGTAAAAAGTGATATGTGCTTTCAATAAAAAGTGGAGTTATTGTCTATCAAGTTTTGTAAATAAACCCGAACATTTAAAATAAAACGTTTATTACTCTTAACAAATGGGAGAAAACATAAAAGTAGTATTAAAAATAATAATAGTGATGATTATTTGTAGGCAATAAAAATATCTATTCAGATATTTTTAGAAAGTTAAGTTTATGAAAAGCTAGTTTCTGAACATTTTAGATATAAAACAATTATATCTAATAATCTAAAACAATATTAACTTGATATATATTTTTTAAATGTATTCAAATTACTTTTTTATTATTATGAAATAAAGCAATACATACGACTACACTTTTTATAAATTTATCAAATTTTTGTACTTGTTCTCTTACATTAAAAAATTAAAATTTTGATACAAATAAATAATTATCCTTACGTAAATTAATTTATTAAAGGAAATATTAATTTTTATCAGTTAAGAAAAGATTCTAGAATAGAAATATAATTAATAGTAATTTTTATAATTAAATTATTAAATAAATTTTTAACTTTTCACATTTCTGGCGTAAGATAAAAAAGTTATTTTACGTTTCAACATTTCAAATGTAGAAATTAATAAAAAGTTACATTTTAGAATTTTCTGTAAAACTCATCACAACCCTCGAAATTAAGCTTTTTGCCATTCAATAATAATTAAAAATATAAACCGTTTTTCATAACAAAATCTTATAACAGATGGAGCCACACAGAATTTTATTATATTTTAATTAAAATATAAAAGTTATTTTTTTAAATAAAATTTCATAACAGCCGGGAAAGTTACGCATCTCAATGCTGGATTTTTTTGGAAATACATAAATAAACAAGTATAAAAATGCTTTTAATAAATTTATTTTTAAAATAGATAAAAATTTATCACAAAGAACATTGGCCCACCATTGGCCAAGCGGTTCCGTTCCCTGAACACTGGGAATTCAGTCGCCAGGACCGGCTGGCCACGTAGAGTTTTCTATGTTTTCTCCACATCTTATAGATGTGGAGAAAACGCCTGAATTTGGACCAGTTACAAACGCTTGAATTTGGGCCTAGGGGAATGTTTCTCTACGGAGGCGATATCGCCCCTATGTGGGCGTTTTTCCATGTTCAGGGGGCGATTAGTAACAATTTATATTTTGGGGAGCGAAAAACAATTTTCTGGGCGATATAGTAAAACATTATATTAAGAATAATTAGATATTTTATTCGTTATATTGTATAATAATTAAACAAATAACATTATACTAGTCACTAGTAGGGAATTCGATCCCGGTCCTTATTTCTAATCCCGGGATTTCGGGATTATACTTATTCGATCCCGGGATCCCGGGATTATTTCGGTATTGAGGGTTAATAAAAAATAAGAAAATCTTACAGAAATCAACAAATCAAAATTTAGACAAAAATCAACATATTTTACAGTATACACCTAGCTAATTTAATCACTCTAACTAATCAGACTCAGAGTCAGACTAACCAGACTTAAAATCACTCAGTCTTCATGTTAAATTTATTCTTTTTTAAGCATCACTGAGATCTCTTTAAACTCACATAAATTGAAAAAACCTTTATGTAACAAACTATGCAAATAAACGTTGAAAATTAACAAAAATCTCTCTTAACATCGACTAAATAGACTACTTTCATATAACAACCTAGTAAGTAGGTAGTAAAGTAAGTTTCTTAGCAAAAAGTATTTAAAAATAATATTAATCAGTCACATTTTTCTTAAATATAAAGAAAACTAATCTAATAGGAACATTCTAATTTGAATTGCGAAAATATGATCTGAGAAATAACAACGCATCCTGTGTCTCATCACCAAGTCTGCTTCTCAATTTGTTGCACATATATGCAGCTGCTGAGAAAACGCGTTTAGGTTTGATGGAAGTTGGAGGAATCGTTAGTAAATACTTATAAGCCCGTTCTAGTTATAGCTTCGAGGACACGGGGAGGTTGGAAGAAAACAGTCCGGTCGACACAGATCGGGATTGTAGGAGTAAAGGCTACAATCCCGATTGTTTCGATCATTGTAAGCATGCCTTTCTAAAAATAAACACGTTAATTTTGTAAATTCGGTCTCTGTGTGAGTCTCTCAGCATCCAGCAAACCACTACTCCCAAACGTAAAAAGACTTTCTCGCATCATCCTGACAGATCACGGGCAAGGCGGGGGTCGTAACCTTTTCACCTAAGGTCGACCCCCCTAAGCGAGAGGCGTCGGGTCTATATTAACCACACTGGCAAAACAAGATGGCTGACACATTGACAGGTAAAACGCACTGAGTAGTGCTCTCGACTGCGCCAGAAAATCGATTGGCGCCCGCGAAAATTCAAAAATACAAAAATGAAGTATATTACCAAGTAACCCAGTGAGAACTGCTTGCCTATCATTTTAGTTGAAAATACAAGAAGTTTTATTCCAAGCAAGCATCGCAAGCCCGCTTGGTTAATTTCTGCTGCTTGCTTGGAATAAAATTTCTTGTATTTTATATTAAAATGATAGGCAAGCAATTCTGTTAAAAGCACTGGCACTGAACGTTTCGCTTCATGCAGTCTATTTTGCAATTTTTTTTAAATGATGTCAATCCCGAAAATCCCGGGATTAGGAAAACTTAATCCCGAAAATTTTGGGACTGAAAAGTGGTCGGGATCCCGGGATCTCGAAAATCGGGATCCCGGGATCAAATCCTCTAGTCACTAGTCTATTTAATGCAGTACGAATTTGGCGTAAGCCTTGGCCCTCGGCATCGGAATTTTGAAGTGAAGGGGGGCGATACTACGTTGAAGTGGGCGACGATTCGTTAGAGGTTGAGAAACACTAGTCTAGACAGACC